AGAGAAATTTGGTCACCAATCAGAATCCAGTCGATTAGCCACTTTGGCTCAGTTTACTGGAAATAATCAGCCAGTGCGGTGAATTTATCGAGTTGTCTCAGGGGCGCCGTTCCCTCGCCATAAAGTGTTTCCCTTTAAAGCAGCCATTTGATCGAGTTAGAAAATTGCCATTTCATATCGCATTACTCTAAGTGTAGCCGAGGCAGATCTTAATATGGCTTTTCGACGATGCCGTCCTCGAAACTCATTTACGATGAGTTATGTGACATGTGAAAGCGCGCACTTTTGAATATTTAAAATGGATTGATCGGGCCGAGCCCTAATAAAATTGGCCCGTTTCGCCCAACAGCGTTTTATCCAATTGTTTTTACTGCACCTTACCGGGCTGGCAAACTATTGAGTTTAACTCACACACTCATTCATGGCTGACCATATTGTTCAAAAACGTGCCCAATTTCAGCTTTCATCACGAGCTACAGGCGTTTGTCAATCTTCAAGTTCAACAGCGCTAGATTGGACGAAGCGGTTGTTGCTAAAACTGGCCTCCGCGACCACCAGATTTGACTTCTCCGGATTTTTTGATGGGCGTCTGTCAAAGGAGAACAACACCAGCAAATGTCAAGGAGATGATCATGGAAGCTTTCCAAAGTTGCGCAAAAACGTGCATGAACCAAAGTTTAATATTGCTTTTCCATGTGTCCTCCCTGGACTGTTCATATGTATGAGAACTGTATGAGAAGAGGAAGATGGAAAGTGCTGGGGGGACTTAACTTAACTTCGCAATGCACTGCAAAGGGTTGCTATCGAACAAAGAGGGGAGGCAGTTTGGGGCCGAAAAGATCAGGCCGACCCCCGGTGTTTGGGGATCCCGATCACGGATCGGGCTAAAACGACAGCCGGCACCGGAGCGCGCATTATGCAAACCCTATTATTTCAAAATGTAACATTATCCAAATTTTATTTATTTATTTGACAATAGGCTCACGTACGGCGAGGAGCCGAGCCGCCCCGCTGTGGGGGGATAGTGCGGTGGGGCGGCGATTCAAAGTCCGGAATTGATGGGGGAGCGCCTGGCTCCGCCCCCCAGGAGAACGAAAATAGATCCTTTATTTCCCATCTCGGTGACAACTGTTTAGCATCCCGGAACTTTCCGGGGGGGAGGCCGCGCGCGCGACCCCCAATTCAATTGTTTCGGCTCGTAGGGGTGTTTGCCTCGTTTGCCTGCCCGGAATCAAGTTACCGGAACTGTTGGGTGTTCGGGACTTCTTCCGGCCGGTAACCGCCAGCAGCCAATTTCCTGATTCCCAAAGCTTTGATAGATTCTTTTGAGCGCGCCAATTTGTTGGCCGGATTTGGAAATCAGCTGCCGCTGAAGCTCGATTCCTCCGGGAAATTCAATCAGCCACTCCATGTCCAGCGGTCAATCTGCAGCCACAGGGGCGGCTTCGGCCGCCCCTCCTGCGGCCGCTCGCTAGCAAATTAAATCCGGAAGGTTTCATTTTCTCCGTTTTTTGTCGCAGTGGCACTTGGGCACCACAGGGCTAGAGGGCTTAGGCCGGCCCTGTTCAGCCGCAAATCGAATTTCGCTACAGTTAGAACGAACGCTTTTTTATCTGGGCGGCGGCGGTCAAATGATGGACGATTTTCCCGGCTTCAGTTATTAAATCTTTTTTCGCTTTTGCGTCGATTTTCTTCTCGCCGCCTTTGCCGGAATGATTGACCATCGGGAATTATGTTAACGCCAAAACGGCCCTCGCTCGCTTCTAGCGGCTGATTTTGGGCGAATTTTCTAATTTGACTATCGATTCGCTCCTTTCCGCCACTGGCACAAGCTTTTCTTCTGCTTGTTTATATTGATTGGCCAATTTTGGGTAAAAACACCACGGTTTTAAACAGTGGATTGTCCTGGAAAGTGGAATTTGTGCAACTTTCGCCAGTGGGTTTCAAGTTTTAAAAATTTTTGGCAAAGCTTCGGCTCGAGTATACTACAGGGTGTTGTGTATAAGTTGCCAAAATCTTCAACTTCTAGGTCCAAGAGTGCGGTTGCTGCGAATTTTTAAGTTTTGAAAGTGCAGTTTTCACACATGTTGCATGGGGTTAAAAGCGAATTTTCCCTCTCTATAGCCAAATAATCCCCCAATTGGTATTAGGTTTGTTAGCGTGCTTATAACCAGTCACTTGTGTGACTTTAGAGCTATTTCATAGGTATTTGGGGGAGTTATCGAGGTTTAGGTCAGTTCAAGCCCCATAAAAGCTTCTGGTGACTTTTGCCTTCTAGATCAATGGGGGAGCTTTAGTCGAAACTTCTGAACTTTTTGGGGCATCCATTTAGTACATATTTAACACTCGGAGGAAGAACAATTTTGAAAACCCAGAAAAAAAAATTCTCAAAAATTCTGTCCAGGATTTTGGGCGATTTTCATATCTTATTTTTTTCTCCTAAACAAGGCTTTGTAGCGAAAAATATTGCTGCTACTAAAATGTCGGGACGCTCAGATGCTACCGGCGGACAATTTTTGCAGAAACATGGAGTGATTGATTTTCGACAAAATTTTTGAATGGGTGAAAAAAAACTCAAATTTTGACGGAAAAAGGATGGCAAAATTGGGCGACATATGATAGAGAAGATGAAACGCCACTGAAAATTGGCCATCTTTCTGATTGCAAATGGGGTCATTTATGGAGGTTCCAAGTGTCATAAGAGCCCATCACAGCCTACAACAACGAATTTTATTTTCCTTCCTTTGCAGGATGCAACAAATGGAGATCTCTGATCATTCAACCACGCAAAATAAACATAGCAAGCACAGAAAATTTTCAGTGCTCGAAATCAGGGATTTTTGCTTTTGCAAACTGCTCCAGCTAAAAATTATGCTAAAAATTGTTGATGTCTAGAAAAAGGTTTAGTTTCGAAAAAAATCTGAACTTAATATCAAAAATGAAAAACGCCCTGTGCTACATTGCTACACACTCTGTACATTGCTACACACTCTCTCTACACACTCACACACAAACTCACTAAAATCCCGGCAACGGCCGAATTTTATAAAAATCGTGAAGTTTCTGTATATTCTCAATATCACCGCCATCTGCACAAAGATTTTTGATGAAAAAAATAACCATTGCAAAATCACTAAAGATATGGGCTGGAAATTTTGCGGCCTTCTAGGCAACACTCTGTGTTATATTTAAGCAGATTAATTAACGAAATTAAATTAAAGCCAATGGATGAATTTTAAAAAACTTCCCAAACCATCACTGAAAAATGAAAATAACCGCAGACTACAGGTTCTTGCCAAAATACTTCAAACTTCCCCACCACTTGACATAAACTCTTGAAATTTCGTACTCGTATATACAAGACTCTGCGCTATTTTCGCCCCGAAAATTGCTGGCGTCCAGAAAATGGTTTAGTTTTGAGAAAAATCTAAACTTTCTATGGAAAACTAAAACATCCACAATTTGTACGTCTTTGCTAAGAAATTGAAAACTCCTAAACGCCTAGAGATAAATGCTTAAAATTCTGCTCGCCCTTTGGCAACATCATGTGCTATATTTACGCGCACAGTTAATAAAATCCATTAACTGAAGACATTTTTGTTGAAATCTTAAATCAATGTAAAACATCGAAAACATCCGAACTGCAGGCCCTCGTTAAAAAAATCAGAACTTCCAAACGACTAGCGACAAACAATTGAAATTGGTCCATATTATAGACAACACCCCGTACTACGTTCGGATCCAGAATAATTAAAATAACATCAATGACTGAACTCCTAAACGTTTTTTAACTTTCGAAGAAAAATTGCAATAATCGCAAACTGCAGGTCCCAGTCAAAGAACTCACAACTTCCAAACGGCTTGAGATAAACACTTGAAATTTCGTCCGGTTACATACTACAACATGCACTATCTTGTTCCTAAAAATAGCTAACAAAAAAATTAAATTTTCTTTATAAAGGGAAATATCCACAAGTTGTAGGTCATTGTAAAAAATAGGGAACTCCGAAACTCCATTAGATAAATGTTTGAAACTCTGCCCACCGTTTGGCAATAAAATGTGCTACATTTACGCGCACACAAGAATCCAATAAATGAATGATTTTTTAACAAAAATCTAAATTTGATACAAAAAATTAAAATACCCAGTCTGCAGGTTTTCGTCAAGAAATTCGCAACTTTCAAACTACTGGCGGTGAATAATTCAAGTTGGGGCAGATTTTACACAACACCCTGTACTACGTTCAGGTCAAAAACAATTATAGTCAAGCACCTGATTCAACTTCCAAATGACTTCAACTTCCAAACATGAAAGTAGGCTCAAAGTGCAAGTTTTGTTAAAGGACTGACAACTTCCAAGTAATTTCAGATAAGCCCTTGGGATTTCCTCTGAATATATAGAGGACGATGTCCTCTATTTGTCCCAGAAATGATTAAAATCCATTGGCAAATTTTAATTTTTACAAAATCTAAGCTTCCCAAAGAAAACCAAAATATCTATAATAGTTAAGTCGCTGTTAAAAAATACACAACTTCCAAACCACTGGAGATGGAAGCTTAAAATTCTTCAGGCCTTTTGCCAACATCTTGCGCTACATTCGTGCATACTTTTATTAAAACTGCTATTATTGGTTGAATTTGTAAAAAAATTTAAACTTTCTACTAATGAAAAATTAAGAAAACCGCAATCAGCAAGCCCTCGTTAAAAAACTCGCAACTTCCAAACGTTTAACAAAAAAAATTAACGTATGCCACATTCAAGAGAACACCCTGTACAGTGTTCGAACCAAAAATAGTTCATATCAAGCCAACGATTGAACTTCAAAGATTTTTTTCTTTGAATGTAAACTCAATGCAACCGCAATCTACATTAGCTCGAAACTACTTGAAACTGAGTTTTGAAATTCTCCCCAATTTTGACCAAAACTCTCAACTACACTCATTCCAAAACTCATAAATCGAGTCTTCCATTCACTCCAGCCATTTCAATATGAAGCTTTTCAAAACGGCAGCACTTTATTAAAAACAAGCCGGGACATGAAACTGAGCACCCAATTCTTCAAACCCTCAAAGAAAGGAAGTTCCTCAAACAAGCAAGCATGGGTGCCCATGATGTACAGAATAACCACTGCGTAGATGACAGACAGCTGCGACCGCCAAGAGTTGAAGTCGATCAAACGCAGCAGGCTGCAGGAAACCTGCAGCTGCTCCTCCAGCATTTCGTGCTCAAACCGGGCGCACTTGTACTCGTTCAAACACGAGCCGAAGAAGCTTGAAAGGTCCGAACGACCATCCTGCGGAAGTGGCGAATCTTCCTCCCTAGCTGCTGAGGAAACGTACCTGGGAGAAGTGAAGTAGACGTGGTGGTCGGTGGCGATGCTCCATATATACGCGCACTCGGAAAAGCTGATGCACTCCAGCACCTTAACGCCTCCTTGAGCAAAGTGGACGAACAGGCCTTTGCCCTCATGGGTGATTTTGCTCACTTGGGGCCAACGCAGCAGGAAAATCGCCTTGTTCTTGCCGTAGGCGCGCAACCCGTGGAAGTTGATGCAGAGGAGCAGCTCTTGCTTGTCGATGTTGCGCACCAGAAAAGGCTCCACCCCATAGGAGTCTAGCTTGGAGGCCAAGCGGAGGAACATGTCCTCAATCTCCAGCCGCTGCAGGCCGGCAAGGAGTCTTTGGTAGATGTCGAGGGCCCTCTTTTGCACGGCCGAGTAAAACTCGCAGGAGCAGCGCTCTTTGCGCAGCACGTGGCTCTTCATGTACATGATGTAGATCCAGGCGCTTGTCGGGACAAAGTCGCTGTGGACATGCTGCAACACCAAAGCCACCAACATGGCTGCTTCGTTCACCTCGCAGAAGAGCCGCCCGCCCATCAAATCCAGTCGCAGCTGCTGGAACAGCAGATGCCGAACGGACGCCTCCTGCACTTTATACGGCTCAGGAGGATACACTTTGGCTCGGAAGTAGAAGCGAATGGGGCTGATGTTCTTCATCTGGCTGCGGATCAGCTTGTCCAAGTCCAACCAGTAGCGCTGCTCGTCCATGCTTTTGCAGTCCATGTATTTGAGCCCCCACAGACTGTAGTCTGGAATCTTCTGGATCGAGCAGACGAACTTCAGCAGGTCCAGGCCTGTGTGATCGGACTTGTAGTCGCACTCGAAATTCTCCCCATTGAGCAGCAGATGGACAGTGCAGGGATAGCGGACTTCGATCCCAGTTTTCGATAGGACTGTTTGCATTTTGCTTCTTGGTTTATCCCCCCAATTTGGATTGTTTTCGGAAAAATGTCGTTAGTGTCACTTTCGGGACAGCTGGTGCTTACTTCAGTAGAGGGATTTGTACAAGGTGTCCGCGAATTGGAGCACAGCTAATCATGTGACTGTCCCGATGTGAACAGGGGGATGGAGTTTTGGAGAAAAATTGGCCACAGTCCAGCCTCAACAGATAGGAAGTTGAAATTTTGCATGGAGTTAGACGAGGCCTCCCGCTATGTCAGTGCGAACGGGCATTTAGATCCACCGCTGGACTGATTTTTAAAAATTTTTCGAAAATGCTGTCAGCAGTTTTTGAGTTTGGATTGAATAGAAGTGAACATCTAGGCTTTATTAATTAGCGGCCAATTGGATTTTAATGATTTTTTGAGCGAAGATGGCGCAAAGTATTGGTGATAGCTGGGTAAAACTCCAAGGCTCTGCTTCGAGAGGTTTGGGAGTTGTGAGTTGTTTTTATCAGGACCTGTAGGTGGCAGTCGCTTACATTTTTCATATAAAATCGATCATTTTTTAGAAACTCAGTCTTTTGCTTGAGGCAGGTATTTTAATGTGAACGTAGCACAGGATGTTGTCTAGATTCTGGACCAATTTTAATTGTTTCTCGCCAGTCGTTTGGAAGTTATGATTTTTTTAACAAGGGCCTGCCGATTGGGGGTTTTCGGTTTTTTACATTAACTTTAGATTTTTACAAAAATTGCTTTATTTAATGGATTTCATTAAGTGTGTGTGTACTACAGCAGAGGATGTTTCAAAGGGGCGAGCAGAATTTTATGCATTTTTCTCTCGGCGTTTAGGAGGTTTTCATTTCTTAACTATGGCGGACAAATTATGAATATTTTGGTTTTCTTTAGGAAATTTAGATTCTAGAAACTAAACCATCTTCTGAACGCAAACAATTTCCAGGATGAATATGGTGCAGGATCTTGTATATAAGAGCACGAAATTTCAAGAGTTTATCTCAAGTGGTGTGGAAGTTTTCAGTCTTTTAGCTGGCACTTGTAGTCTGCAGTTATTTTCATTTTTTTGCCAAAGTTTACGATTTTTTTTTAAATTCAACCATTAGCTGGAATTGAATTATGATCTGCAAAAATGTAACACAGAGTGTTGCCTAGAAGGCAACAACATTTTAGCGTTCTATTTTCACTGATTTTGCAAAGGCGAATTTTTGCAACAAGAACCTTTGTGCAGATGGCGGAGATTTTTGAGATTATATGAACAGCTTGACATTTTTTTTAAATCGACCATAAGTGGGATTTTAATGAGTTTCGGTAGCAATGTCACACAGGGTGTTGCCTTGAATATGGCCAGCATTTAATGGTTTATGGCCAGTATTTTATAGTGTTCATAGAAAGTTTATAATTTTTTTAAATTCATGCATCCCCTGGATTTTAGTAATTTTTCGCACAAAGACAGCACCGGGTGTGGGCAAGAGGTTCGGAAATTTTCAAGCCTCTATCTCCAGTAGTTTGAGAGTTCTGTATGTTTTAATAGTGCTCTACAGATTGCGAATATTTCGTTTTTTTATAGAAAGTTTAAACTTTTTTTAAAATTTAACCGTTACGAGTATTTTAATCGCTGTGAGTCTGAGCATTTTACAGGGTGTTATACACAAGCGGGCCGAATTGCAAGTGTTTATCTCAAGTGAATTCGAAGTTGTGCGTGCTTTAACTAGAACCGTCAATCTTGATATTTTCATTTTTCTTAAAAAGTTTATTTTTTTAAATTTCAACCATTTCTTGGAAATTATTTTTTCTTGCAAATTACTTTCGACGAAAGTGGCTCCTGTTGATACGGTGGCAGAATCTGAAGCGACTATCGCCAGTTGTTTAAGATCAGCAATTTTTTTCGAGGATCTGCATGCCGATTACGCTTAATCTGATGTCTCTGAGCGAGTTTAGAATTTTAAAAAATTCAAGTATTAGCTGGATTTTCGAAATTTTCTGCCAGAGCATAGCACAGAGTGTTGGCTCAAATCCGGCCAATCTTTAATTTTTAATCGCCAGTCGTTTGAAAGTTGTGATTTTTTAACAAAAACCTGCAGATTGGGAGTTTTTAATTTTTTTGCTACCAGTTTAGGATTTAATAAAAATTTCGCCACTCAATAGATTTTAATAATTTTTAAGTCCAAGATTATTCAGGGTGTTATATAGTACAGGACAGAACTGAGAGTGTCTATTTCAAGTGGTTTGCAAGTTGTACGTTTTTTGAACAAGGACCTGCAGTCTGAGGTTATTTTAAATTTCCTTCGAAAGTTTAGGATTTTTTAAGCATTCATTAACTAGCTGGATTTGAATAACTTTCCCTGATAAGGTAACGTGGGGTTTTGCCTAGAAGGTGACAAAATTCCAGGCCTCGATCTCTAGTCAGTAAATTTTGGAGATTTTTTTCAGCAAGAACCTTCAGGCGGATGGCCCTTATGCTGATGTCAGTTGTAGTCAGTTTAAAATTTAAAAAAAACCTTCACTGGGATTTAAATGAGTCTTCGTAATTTCTCTCTTTCGTAAATCGCCTTTTAAATCGTAACCTGTTGGGGTTTCGGGCCCAACCCTTTTGCCACCAACCTTTCGGCATAACCAAACCGGTCGGAACTAAACCGACTAGAAGAAACTGCATGTTAATGGCAGTGAAAACGTAGGAAATCACAATTTCCTGCCGGTGAAAAGAAGAGATCTTAATGAAAACCTGAGCAGCAAGACAATGGAGGTGGGAGGGCGATGCACGTAGGGCTATATCTTTATTTACAGCGGGGCACCGGGACGCCGCAGGAATATAAAGCAGGACTCTTGATTGAGCAACTTGATTTTAAAAGCGGGCGGATTGAAAATCGTATGCTCAGCTGGCTGGAGAGATTTTCGCCCGAACGAAATTTACCAATTGCTGGCGGAATTGCTGCTGGATTTTTAACGAGCTTCCGCGAAATTTACGGGCCGAAAGCTCCCAGGAAAAAATGTTGAAAACCTGAGCCGATTGGACTCGGCCTCGTTTTGGCAAATCCCGTTAAGACGTTCCCTATTGTTTCACTTGTACGTTTCGCCTGTCTGATCTCGTTCCTGATTTCGGGGCTTTCAGCGACGCTTCCAGGGAAACTGGATCGCTCCTGGCAGTCTCTCGGGGAGTATGGAATTACTTCGGCGACATGACAAAGCGGGTTCGCGCTTTACATAATTCGATCAGTTTAATCTTAATACCCCGGGCCCGTCTTAACACCGGCTCGGAAATTAAGAAGCCGGTGTAATCCCTGGATTACAGATTAGGTGTCGCAACTTGCCAACTAGTCCCTATGGACTGGTTCAATCGGCTCATCGCTTGGTAGGATCAGTCAACCCTTTTGTAGTTTTGCTGCGCTTTGCGGTTGGGAAAAAATCCTGCAGCTGCAGGAATTAAGCCATTTTTTCTGGGACCAAACTACCGGGAGTGTGTTGCAAGTGGGCCAAATTTCAACGCTGTGGCTTTGGGGGTTTGGAAGTTACGAATTTTTCAACTGGAGCTTGCATTTTGAGCTGCTCGATTTTCCAGAGCAGGTTTGCAAATTATTCAAAAATCAACCAGGGCTGGGATTTTTTTCGTTTTTCGTCCCCATATAGCACGAACTTTCCTGTAAATCGGGGCAAAAATTCAAGTTTACATCCTTTGTGGTTTAGGTGTGGTGAATTTTTGAACTTGAGCCTGGCGGTTTGCCGCGGCTTGGAACCTGAGCGGATTTTGTTACTTTCAAAAGTAAGTCTAGGAATTTTTCAAAAATCAACTGCCTGATTGATTTCAATGATTTTCGGTTTCAATATAGGCAGAAGATTTAGCTATTGGCAGGCAAATTTTCAATTTGCTATGTCAGGAAATTTTCAAGTTCTGAATTTTTGAGCTAAAGCCTAGGCATTGAGTCACTTCATTGTCCAGAGTAAGTTTAGAAATTTGTCAAAAATCAACCAACTTCTGAATTTTCATGATCTTTAGTCAAATCATAGCTGAGCAGTTTGTTTGTAAAGTGGCAAATTTTGGAGCGGTTGGAAGGCGTAGTTTAGATGTTACGATTTTTTGAACCGTTTCCAAACTAACGCAATTAATCTTCTAGACTAGAGTGAGTTTGAAAGTCTTTTAAAAAGCTAATCAGTCAGTGGATTTTCATGTCCTTTTGTGAGAACAGATCACAGGCGAGTTTCTACAAGGTGTCAAAGAGTGAGGACTTGATTTGGAAGATTTTTCAGGCAACAAGAGGTTGCTTGATTGGATTTTCCCCGAGACAAGTTTGAGGTTGATGTTGGAGTTGGAATGGTTTGGAGTTGAAGACGTAAAAAAATCAACTAGTCTTTAGACTTAGCGATTTTTTCCTGCAGTTTAGTACAGTGTCTTGTGCAATTGAGCAAAATAGCAAGACTTTAGCTGTTGCGGTTGAGAAGTTGCGAATGTTTTAAATAAAGCAGTCATTTTCTAATACCGGTTTTTGACTGAAGAGAAATACGCTATTTTTTCTGACTGCTCCGATTTGTTGGATTTCGATGCGTTTTTCCTACATTGTTGCACTAGATTCGATCTACAGGGCAGCAACTCTTGGAGTGTCTGTCTCCAGAAATTTGGAAGTTGATAATTGATATTTCTTCATTGAACATGTTGATTTTGCAGCATTAATTTAGAATAAAGAAATGAAAGAGCATTTAGCTTTCAGTAATTTTTGACCCGAAAGATAGCACGGGGCTTGATCTATAGATGAACAAAGCTTCAGGATCCCAGCTGTGGATGGTTGGAAGTTTTGATTTTTTCAACCGAACTCTCTACATTGACCCAAATGATAGGGTCTTCCAGAGTAATATTCTAAAAAAAAAATAATCAGCCTTTGAATCTTAGTGATCCTTGGCCTAAATATAGCTGGATATATTGTATACAGGGTGTCAAAATTTTGCGTTAGTAGCTCCTGGGGTTTGGAACTTCTGAATTTTTTAAACTCAGACCTGGAAATTTCACCAATCGATTTTGCAAAGACAAGTTTGAGAGTGTTTAAAAATCCAGTGAGCTCTCAGGTTTTAAATATTTTTTCCTTTGAACATGGAGAAGCTGGCCATAAAACTGACAAAAATATTGCAAGGCTTTAGCTGTTGAAGTTAAGAAGTTGGCAATTTTTGAACTGAAGCATGCACACGGAGCCGGTTGCTTTTGACTCAAAGGAGTTGACAATTTTTCGTTATTGAAGTTGCTAGTCAGAAGGATCGAAGTTTTTGCTCAGTGTAGCAGAGGCGTTGGTCTACAGGGAGGGCAAATTTCAACCCTCCACCACTTGAGGTTTGAAAACAGTGAATTTTTCATTGTCATACAACTGCGACACTGAGTAGCACATTTTGTAACTTTCATGCATAAGTTTAGGAATTTTTCGAAAAATCAACCAGTATTTCGATTTTAGTGATTTTAAGGGTCAGTATAGACAGGGGATTGATATACCGGGTGGCCAATTTTCAATTTCGTAGATGTGGAAATTTGGCGGTTCCAAAATTTTTAATTGAAGCCCACACATTGAGCCACTCGATTTTCCAAAGTAGGTTTAGAAATTTGTCAAAAATCAATCAATACGTCGATTTTAATGATCTTTGGGTGAATCATGGTAAGTAGCTTAGCCGCAAGCTGGAAAGTTTTTAGGTAGTTAGGAATTACCTTTGGAAGTTGCGATTTTTTATCGGCAGCCCTTATTGACTCAATTGGTCTTCTGGAGAAAGTTTAAGAATTTTTTAAACGCCAACCGGCAACCCACAAAGTCTTCAGATTTTAATGATTTTTGCCTTGAATAAAGCCCGAAAAATTGTGTACAGGGTGTCCAAACATAAAGTTTGTAGCTCCTGAAGTTTAGAAGTTTTATTTTTTTAGCCAAGACCAGATTGCTTGACTGGATTTCCCGAGAGAAGTTTGAGATTTAACAAAAATTGCCATTTTTTAGACTGTACTCATTTTTGTCCGAGTATAATACGGTGGCTTCTCTAAAACGTAGAAAAATTAGCTAAAAACGTCTCATGGATTTTTGCTGTTGAGGTTTGAAAGTTGCGAATTTTTGCATTTCTTCTTTCAAAGCTTGCCCATTTTTTGAGAATAAAAAAATAGTTCCATGGAAATTTGAATAATCCTTAATTTGAACCAAATCGTGGGCTTTAGTACATAGATGGACAAAATCTGAGGTCTTCAACTGTTCACGTTTGGAAGTTACGCTTTTTTCAGCTGAAGCCTCCAAATGGTCCCTGTTGATTTTCCAGCGTAAGTTCAGGAATTTTTTACACGTCAACTAGCGTGTAGATGTTAATGATCGATCGTTGGACTGAATATAGCCTAAGACCTTCTGTACAGGGTGTCAAAAAGTTAGGTTTTTAACTCTTGAGGTTTGGAAGTTGTGAATTTTTTAACCGAAGCATGCACATGGTGCCGCTTGATTTTTATTGAAGAGAGTTTACATGTTTTTTTGTAGAAGTTGTCAGGGAAATCAAATTAATTTTTTTGCTCAGTATATCTGAGGAGTTCGTCTACAGGGTGCCCACGTTTCAAAGCTCTACCCCGTAAGGGTGAAAGGCAGTGAATTTTTATTCTCGTACAACTGCGACACTGAGCTCGCTCTCAGCGATTTGAATTTTCCTGCGCAAGCTTGGTAGTTTTATAAAAACCAACCAGCCGATGGATTTTACTGAAACTTTGCCACAGTATAGCCAGAGGAGTTGCCTATGGGCGGGCAAAAACTCCAGTTCTCCCAGCCAGTAGTTTAGCTGCAGCGAATTTTCAAAAAGTTGAAACCGCAAGCGGCCACTCATCCATCTGGAAGCTTGACCATCAGGTGAAACAAAGCGGCCGTTTCCTGCCAACATCCGAAAAATGAAGACCGTCCAACAACTCAGCAGGATAAAACCTGCTGAAAGTTTAATTCGGACAGAGATTGTGAGTTATCCGTTCCGAACAGCTACATGACTGACTCAAGTGGCCCTGCGGACAAATGCGGCCCCAACATGCAATCCTGCCGACTTTCGGCTCCTGCATTTTTAACTCGGCCGCCCCTAAATGGTCAACGGGACGGAAACAACACTACAGTTTCATTTATCGAATACGACTTTATTTGCCAGAGTTTCAACACATTTGCGTGGTTGTTCGTACATTTCCTAGACATATACAGGGTGAACGATTAAGAAATCAGTGAAACGCAACATTACCTACAAACGGTGATATGTATTAGGTGGTAAATGAGGGAGGGGGCTTTCGCATTGCACATCCATAATTGCACAAAACCAGTCTACATATACAATAATAGGCCCAACTTATGTGGGCGTGTCCTATATGGGTTCTAGTGTACATTATGTTACAAGAGAGAGAGAGAAAGGAGGAAAACGCGAGAAAGAGAGAGAGAGGAATAATTTATTAACATTATTGTACACGGCGCTGTTGATGCCTCGGTTTCATGTGTACAGGGGGGGTTGGAAATACCGCAGGGCCCCATCCAGGCCACGCGGTAGACGAGGCAAACAACACTCTTTCTTTGGCTTATCTAGCAGTCGTTCGGCAGGCACTCACACTATTATATACAGGGTGTCCGGCAACGCCCAAATCACAGATATACGGTCGAAGTGGTAGAAGTAGGCCTGGCTAGTTCGTCCAGCAGGCATTCGAATAGCGGGGCTCGGGCGCCTCCAGGCCGTTGTGCGCCGCGCACTATGTGACAATGGGCCTCAGCTCGGTGTGCTGAGTTTCTTTGTGCCGGCGCAGGTCCACTTTGCGCTGGAAAGCGCGCCCGCACAGGTCGCAAGCAAACGGTTTGAACCCCGTGTGCTTTCTGGAGTGCGTGATCAAGTTGCTCGATTGGCTGAAGGCTTTTCCGCACACTGTGCACTTGTGCGGCTTCTCGCCTGAAACATTAAAAAACATCTATATAAACTCTATATAAATAATCTTTATTTCCTATAGAAAACAGCTATCGACCCAATCGGTCTTTCTGCCCTTGAGTGGTACATATGTGTCTTAGCCTAGCTTATTCCAAAATTAATTCCTATTTCTAACACTAGTATAACCTAATCAGCGATTTAAAAAAATTCCTGGCCTACTAAACAAACAGGTCTTAGTCGTTAGTTCAGTTGCGTTTGTAGGTGTTCTAATAAAGTATCTGTTGGGGTACGAAAACGGGAATGTTTTGTCCGTCTTGTTAGGCAAAGGGGATTCAGTATGGTCCAGTTGTGAGGGTTGTTTGTCATTTTGTCTGTAAGTGTATTAGTCTTTCCTAGATTTTTGTCATGTTTGGGCGTTTGTATAGTAATTGGTTGGAAATGTTGTGCAGGGGGTTTTGGGGGTGTCTTATTGGTGTTATTAGTCTTAGTGCAATTTGTTCAGTTGTTTGTACGTATCGTTTTGTCTTTTCTGTTCCGTTGGACATGAGTATATGTCCGTAGTCCAAGAGGTCTACAGATCGCTTTGTATGTTTTTGTCGCCGTATTTGTACTAATTCCTTTGTCTTTGTATGTTAGTGATCGAAAGTGTTTTGTTCTTTTTATCGTTTCTGTTCTGATGTTTCGTGTGTGTTTAGTGAATTTGAGTTTGTGGTCGATTGTGATCCCAAGGTACCTTACGTCGTTTTTCGGTTGGGTTATTTTTCCGTCTGCAGTTATTGTAGGGGAGTCAGCGTTGAGTCTATGGTTCGTGAGCAGAAGTGGGTTTTTTGTCGCGTTTGGCGTTAGTCTCCATTTATAAAACCATGTCATTGTGTTGTTTGTTAGTGTTTGGAGTCTTTCAGTCGCTTTTTCAGTAGTTTTGTCGTGTACAATAAGTGCCGTGTCGTCAGCGTATAATATGTATGCCGTTCTGTCGATTAGATTTTTAGAAAAGGGGTGAGAGGGGGGATTCTTGAGGGAGCCCTTGTTCAGGGGAAAAAAAAGGAGAGTGTGTTGTCAATTCGTACTTGTAGTTGTCTGTTTTCTAATCAGTTCTTTATGGTGTGTAGTAGATATGGTGGTGTGTGGAGTTTGTATAGTTTGTATAGCAAGCCCCTATGCCAGACACTATCAAAAGCCTTGTTGATG